TTATTATTATTATTATTATTATTATTATTATTATTATTATTGTTATTATTATTATCATTATTATTATTATCATTAATAATTATTATTATTAGCGCTGTCTGTCCTCCGCTATCGCCGAATTCATTCCTTTGTTTCAGTACTCTCATAACAAATACGCACTTCGGATTTTCTCGTCCCTTTCATTCTCTGATATTCCGTAATAATTTTTTAATGAAGATACAAAAAAAGTTCACCTAGTGATATGAACAGAAAAGTTTAGCAACCAAAGCATGAATTTCCGATGTATGCAGCATAAATCGTATGATGGTAAATGTCTTGACCATTTTAAAGCTGAGGTTTTGAATGGGAAAGAAAAAAGTTCACTTAATCTTATACTTTCATCGAACCTGCAGAATAGAAGTTGATTATTAATCTCAGCAATAAAACACTGCCAAAAAATATTGCTGAAAACAACTGTTTCCGATTAACCAATAGGTGCAAAGTAAATATCAGATAAAAACTGCAAACCCATATCAAGGGAAAAGCTTCATCCAAACGAAAAGATAAAACCCTACTTTCTCAGTAATAAAAACACACCCGAGCCCAAAAAGAGTAGATGAAATACGATCGACAGCAAGTTTCATATTGTATTTCCCAATTAATCCGAGTGGTAACAGATAACCAAAGATTGCGCGCATGAATGCACGGTACTGCGCATAAGTTACTGATTTTCTGAACAAACGGTTGCGCATTATTCTGAACATTAAACAACGTTTTATCAAATAAAGTTTATAAACAGAATAAATGCATTCTAAGAGAATAATACCCTGTTTTACCGAACTCATTAACGGATTTTAACGAAATTTTAACGGAATTTTTATATAAGAGCACAACTTAAGAAGGATAAATTACGGCACACGGTTGGCATAACATTTTACAATAGCAACATTAAAGTCCACTGAAGCCTGAGCAATTTTGAAAACCTTCAAAGGCAGTCTAAAAATGATGAACTTCGTAAAAGGTATATATACTTTTCACACAGGGAAATAGCTGCATTAAGAAATGATATGTCAATCTTTAGACATTGAAGAAAGAAAGAAAAATTATCAAGAAATCATTCACAAAGAGAAGATGAAAGGTACCTTAATAAAAATTCAACATCGAAATCATCCAAACGAGGTACTGTGTGTTTCAACGAATATTGTATGGAAAGAGCTGCAAGCCTTTAGCAGATATCAGCGCACTGAATCTTAGCACATTACATAATAACTTAGATGCTATTTCTCTGGTCCCATCAGAAATTCGAAGAAATCTTCGTCGAACCTAATAAATTGTAAGAAGTTCGAACAAAAGGACGAAGGGAAACAGAACAAGAATTTTGGAATACCTTCTACGAATGTGACTACACATTTCTTCCAAAAGCAGTTGTTGTAGATGATCAAGTTTGTTGAAATTCTCTGCACCTATCATCTCAATGCAGAGCGAAATACTATCAGCATAATGAGTCTGAAAACTTCTATGCTTTTTAAGAAAACTTGTCCAAGTGAATCAAATATATAAATAACCTAACTAGAGCATGAGAACATCTAGTATTTACTAGCCTGTATAGGCCCTAATTTCTAACAATGGCATCTATGTTAAACATTTGTCGCTATGAGTAAAAAAAGATAACACTTCTATAATCACTATTGCATGTCCTATGCATTACAATGAATATGCAAAATAAGGCGTAAAGTTTCAAGCTAAATCATTCTTTAGTAAGCAATGATTAACGGACATAAAGGAAACTTGAATTCGACTTCATTTTTTTTTTTACATATTTCAAACTTCTGAAGAAAAACTATTGCCATAAGTTGTTTGTAGAGATAAAGGAGATGAAAATATGATAAACATGATGTAAATGACTGCTAACCATTCGTCCCTGACGATGATTTAACCAACTATGACCAGTGTAGTGGAAGCACATGCGAGGTGCAATGAAAAACTTTCTTTGTTCCATCATTTTCGTGGAATTTGCAAATTAAGCCCACATGGACAATAATCACTTTGCAATATTTATTTCGAAAACTTGGATACTATTTGCAAGTGCATCAAAGAGGTCATAATTAATGCTTTCATAGATACTCCGAACTAAATTTGTTGCACTTCAAGCAGACGAAGTAAGCTGCTGATACACAGAACACGATCTTGCTTGCATGATTGTTATGAGAGATTTGCAAAAGACCTGCAGAACTAACTAACTATAGGTGTGTACTCGGTCTTCCATTGTCTTAGGTCAATCATTGCAGTTAACTGATAGACTGCTACATTTTTCCTGAAGTGATACAGAAAACTTCATCGAGTCTTGCCACTGTCCGACATAGTTTCTGACATAGTTTTTAACACTATTACATTAAAAAAAGTTCTGCTGTCAGGGAAATCTCTTAGGATTACATAAACCAGAACACTGAATTCCAGATTAAGGAATTAAATACCATTTAACATATTATCACCAAAAAACATCATCGTAATCCTTGTCAACCGATGCACAATTGAGGATCCCCCGCCACGCCGCGTAATATCGAAAATTCGCAAACTACAACTTCCATCCCATTCAGAGGTGTAAGAAGTGCTTGGAGAGCAGGAGTAGGCAATTAATTTTTCCAGGGGGCACATAAGAAATCGGAATGACTTTTGGAAGCCAAACTAATATACTTGACTCAATTTTACCCAATGTCACATCCTATATATATACATATATATATATATATATATATATATATATATATATATATATATATATATATATATATATATATATATATATATATATATATATATATATAT